CTCTTTTTCCCTTTCAGGAACTCACATTAAGATATCTCCTCGGACTGAAGACCTCGGTCAGATGCAAGTATCATACTATACCGACTACTACAAAGATATGTACCGAGGAATGGTCCTCACAAATAAATCTTTCGAAGTTCCTGGACATCCTTGCGTGTCAAATGAAGGACATAAACAAAAGAAATGCATGTATTGTCGCTTTTATAACAACAAGACCAGGTCAGGGTTGCCTATTTTTACCCGACACAAGTGCGGAACCTGTGAGGTTCCGTTATGTAAACTTGAAACGTCTGAAAGGATGTGCTTCAAAGCCTATCATGACACACTTATCAAAACTCAAGGAGGAAAGTTAGATGACGAAGGCAATGAATGACGTATTTCATTCACAACTTTTACTGTGGACAAATCTAGTCAAATTCTAGTTATTCTTCTATTTAGCTAGTTACAAGTTTGGTTGTGGGTTTGCATGCTTGTGTACATAATTATCGGACATTTGAGTCTGTTATTAACCCGAATAATTCAGTCGTTATATTCCACTGATCTACGATTACTTCATTAACCTTGCAAGTAGGAGAGATCGATTAGGGGAGGGACTGAATTATTCGGGTTAGTCTATTGTCGGTTGTATGCGATTTTATGATATTTAGCTGTTGTTTAACTTGCTTGAAATTCATTGTGGACATGCAGATAATCAAAATGATACAATTCTTAATGCAAAGTAGTATGTTTCCCGTAAAGTTCGATATTGGTTATGTCATATTTTGCGTTTCAATTTTTAAACGTAAAAGTGTTATATACAGTAAAGTTTCAATTTACAGAAGCACTGACGTGAAATTGTGAACAAAATTTTTTTCATGAACATTTTATATAACCATGTATTAATTGCATGTGAAAATAAATCATATAGAGAAATTGAGTCTTTATCTTATAACCAAAATATAAATTGAAGTGAATTTGACAAAGGTTTATGGCCCATTGACAAAAATACCATGAATAGGGCTGTATTGCATTCACCTTGTCCGTCCGTGCGTCCGTCCATCAAAATTTTCCATCACCTTTACTCAGGTACTACTGAACAGATGACTTTATATTTGGTCAGCAGCTTAGCAGCCTAGCAGTGATGAGTTGGGACGTGCAAGTACATTTCAGATCTGTCAAATACCTTTTTCCTGGTTGCCGATATTTTGAATTTTTCAATATGTTGCATGAACTTGAACACTTTTCTTCACGCTTGTCTCGGGTATAACTGCACAGAACGACTTCATATTTAAGCAACCTCTTGATAATGATGAGTGCTTGACGTGTGAGCGTTTTTCAAATCTGTTATAGTATGTGACACAACTAGACCAAATATAAGTATTGTGACCTATAATGGTTTACTTTTATAAATTTTGACTTGGATGGAGAGTTGTCTCATTGGCACTCATACCACATCTTCTTATATCTAATAATTGAAGTCATCACTACAAATACTTCTGTAGAAGTTACAAAGTAATTAAGCATGTGCGTAAGTCAGTTACTATTTGACTATTTAAATGATTGATGGAAAATTTGTAATAAATAATTGGTGTACTACAAATCTTTGAATGTTTTATGTTCTGTTAATAATATTCAGTACAACATAATACTTGCTACCAGTCAAGGCAAAACCACGATTTTTTTTAATGAAATCATTGAAATCCTTGAATTATACCGAAAATATTTAATTTGATTACAAAAGCAGATCTAATGTAACATTGTGTAGTATTGTGAAAGTACTGACGACAGTATCGGTGTTAAATGATGGCAAACAACTGCACTGTGTCAAGTTTTATAGGAATACAGCACATATTATCGACAGTTCAGCTATTTTGACCTTTATTTACTCATGATTGAATCAGATGTTTGGGTCAAGGCCAATACCTTATTATAATTATATCATAGCTTTGATACTGACTCGCAAATGCAGTCTTCTTGTTGAAGTGGTTTCCTCGATTGAGCGATTTATCTAGGTTTTACGTTAAGGTCTTAACGTAGATTGCACAGAAGTAGTGTCCAGTAGTGAGTAATTGAGATTTTACCACTTAAAAGTTCTTAGTGTAGAAAATATGTAGTACATACATATTTTCATTGATTCAATCTATTAGAAAGGGTTTGGGGAGGAATGTTGTACAGATGTGCGGTCAAGGTTGACATGAAACCATTCATTATGTCAATAGTTTATTCGTTAACTTGTGATTTAGAAACCACTGTAGTTAAATTTTGTTTTGAATTCTTGAATTTTCAACAATATTTAAGTGCTCATACTAAAATCCCCTTATTTTGTAGATGCATCCATCTTTCCTCAAACCTTATCAAGCATGAAGCTATCTGACGCTGGAAGTTGCCAAGGTATCCTCATTCCGCCCGAACACAGACTTGTTCCTTTGGGATTTGGAAAGCAGAAAACATGCAAACATTGCAGAATAATGAAATCCCGTACCCGGACTGGCCTTAGGATTTTTACACGTTATAAATGTGATACCTGTGGCATCGCTCTCTGTAATCCATATACTTCAGAACGGCGTTGTTTCTTTGTATATCACATGGTAAATGGTGCACCAAAACCGGAAACAAGCGACACATAGGTCGTCAGTTTTGACTAGTACCCAAACTATATAAGACACCTATCCCTTTATGGACATACAGTTTTCATGTAGTTTTGAAACGTCAGTGTAAATAGTTTCATTCTTGGAAACATAAATATGTCAATGAATTTAGAATAAAGCTTAATTACAAGAACTTAGCTAGTTAAAGTTTAAATGTCTGACAACAAGTACTTAGACACTACCCAGTAGGTCTTTGTAAGACATATCTTACAATGTAAATCAATACGCATATAGCGTTTTGACTGAGTTCACAGAAAGAAATATTTAATTTAGAAACAGATCTTTCTTTAAAAATGCCAAAAATTTTGAAATGACGCTGTGAGTAAAAGGAGATATGGGTATACATAGATGAAACCACCACCTTACGACACCAAACCATAGTACATGTAGATATAAACGTATATATAGTCGTGAACAGTAGAAACATCTATACGATATGTCAATTAAGTTTTAAACCACCTAGTCTAAAACAGCTTCAATAGATTTGTCTGAGAAAATCAAAGATCTACCATCAACACCCAAAATACAAAAAGAAAACAACCAACTATGTTCCTGAATAGTGATCTGCACATGAACAGCATATGGAAATTCTCCAATCTGTATATGGTAAGGAAAAGAGCTATCAGATGTACACTTGTTTAAAGTTCATAGACTTCAACCTGACAACAGGGTCAACACTTTGTCAACAAGTCCTGAGCTATATTTTTCAGATCTGTATGCATTAGCAAAATCCAAACCTATATAGCTTACTGTTAGGTGTGAGCCAAGGCTGCGTGTTGAAGACCGTACTTTGACCTATAATGGTTTACTTTTATAAATTGTGACTTGGATGGAGAGTTGTCTCATTGGCACTCATACCACATCTTCTTATATCTATACCTTCATATTCAAACGCCATTAGAGGACAAGAAAGCATGTTGCAGGTCATTTTACAGTTCATTGTTTGCTGCTGTATATCATATTTGTATTTCGTTCATTGTTTTGTACAGTATGCGGTATGGGGTTTACTCATTGTTCAAGCCGTTCGGTGACCTATAGTTGTTAACCTTTATGTCCTTTGGTCTCTGGAGGAGAGTTGTCTCATGAACCACTTCATACTTTTATATGACAGTAAATGGAGTGCCAAAGTGTCAATCATTAATATATTCATATAAGCCTTTGTTTTTAACCATTCTGTACTATCATTGAAGCACGTACAGCTTTCAGTACAGAGATTTAATTGTGCTGGTCTAAAATACCACCCTTATGACTTAATCCAGTCTGATGTCATCTTCGAATCTTAATTTAAAAGTAATTTTGATGTTGATATGTCTAGAGGCCGATGTGGGTAGTACCGAGATCTTATCAGTGTGAATTTGCTATGAAAAGGCTCACAACTACTGAACCAGCTTTTGTTTCATTTCGTCTTTTGTATTATTTCTGGGTTTTGCACTTTTCAGTCTGGTTATTTTTGTCATGTTTGTGTCAGTTGAAAACTTGGTCTGTTTGATTGGATAGAATTTAAATGGAACCTTGTATGTTTTCATTTATGGACGTCATAAAGGTTGCACATTGTAAATACAGCTGTTTCACAAACCACGCATCTTTTGGGGAGACATTTAATATTCATAAATGTTTGTTTTGTTTACCTACTGTTTCCCAGATATGATCTCTATGCTTCATCTCTTAGAGACAAAACTTGAGTATGTCACAAGTATAAATACACATGGATAGCAGCCAAATTGAGTTCTGAGGAAGACCCAAAGTGAAGGGAGGGTAGAACAGACTTTTAGTATAAGTTTAAACTCTTAGAAGTTAGAGGCATATAAATGTTGAAAATATGCCGCACAGCCCTATGTTTTGACCTTTGAAAAAAATAGCAGTGCATATAAACTTTCCAATCTAGGATATAATTTTTTACGAAACTTCATAGTAAAAGTGGCACAGTTTTAGCAGTAAAAGGAGTTCCTATGGGAAATTGCATTGTTTATATTTACAGAAGTGCAACCTAAAACGTGTTTATCTTTGCATATATACATGTATTTATCTATTTGAGGAAATGTGTCGCAGATATCAGATGGAAAAAGTATATCTATTTTATTTCCCTTGAAAATTATTTGGCTACCTAGAAATATATTTAGTTTATTTAAAGTGGTATTGCGTTTACTTGAAATGATGTTTTAAAACGGGAAATACAACTGTATGAAATATTTCCTCTAGAATTCTTAAATAAAATATTTTTGTGCAAGAAACACTTATTATAACAAAATAAATGTAAATAATTGACCCCTTTACAGACGATATGAAATTTTGACAGTTTTACTTTCATTTAGTCGCCACTGTAAAACAATATTTTTTAAGATGAAGACCTACTGTGTGATATTTATCTTTTAGGTACAAATCGTAAAAGAGGACCAGTGGATTCAGAACAGTATAAAACGGTAGTCGATATGGATAGGCAAAATTTTCAGCCAACTGCTGAAGGCGATACGAGTCCTATGAAGAGTGGACTTCCGATTTCCAGTGAAGGAAGATTTACTTTGAGTTTACCCGATATTTCTCGTCCGCCACCACCTCTGCCAAGTAGTCTTGAAAGTTCTCCTAACTTCATGGAGTTTCAGCCACGACCAAGGTATTTCCAATCTTCGTCAAGTATTGCTCATGGTAAACCTTTTCAGATTCCACCACAACCTTCTCAATTCCCTGTGCATACACAAAGGATTGCACATAAAGAGCAATTTCAACATAAAACTGGCATATCTACACATACAGTGATTGCAGAAAAAGTACGTCACACGAATGATCCATTGGTCGCCCAAGACAGTGCAGGTTCTTCAGCACCAGTAGTTTTTAAGAAGCAGGCGATAATATTAAAGGGAATCGATGACTTACCAGGTCATAAAATTGTCCCCAATCATGTCAAGAATGGCACAAGATGCGTATATTGTCAAGTCCATAGAATAAAAACGCCATCTGGATGGAGAGTTAAAACAAATTATAAATGTGAAACTTGTGATGTGGCTCTTTGTGCGAGCGAGGTAACCGAGCGGAATTGCTTCCATTTACATCATATTGAAATGTTTGGTGAGCAGATTTTAGGCGATAAAGCGTAGTAGATGATGAGTGATGATGTTTGACTAGCATAATGAAACTGTATCCCCAAAGATTTATAGAGGAGAGGCTATTAATGTGTATATACTAGGACTTGTAGATATTAGTTTTGATATGGTTTATATGCAACCAGAAACTTAGTGTAAAATATGACATAGCACGTAGGAATCCATCAGCATATATGAAATAGAGAGATTTACAAGTGCATGCGTACGGTCGTCCATCCTTTAATTCGGAGAAAAACAAGTCATATTTAAAATGATTTATATTATGAGTTCATAACGACGAATGATTTTATAGAAACGTATAGAGCATTTGAAAAAGGCTCTATATTGGTTATTTATGTTTTTTCTACAAAATTGGGAATTCTTAGCTTGCCACAAAACGAGTTTTTGGTGAATAATAGTAATAATACTTTATTCAAAAGCAATACAGCTTATAGAATATACATTTTTACATCAAATTTTTAAATGCATCAGTGTAATATTAATAACAATAATTATACAAAATACACATATGGCGAATAATGCAACATGCGAGTATATAAATGTTGATTTGGGGTTGCTATAAGGCAAAACTTAGTATTTTATAATTCGATTATTGGGAAGGCAAGTTTCCATAGCAAGCATTGGAACTCCGACTTCTGCTATTGTTAAACTGAAAGGGTTCACAATCCCTCAATTTCAATACTCAATATATTTTAGTTATACAAAAATTATTTGAATGATTTTAGCTCCCGCTGTGTGTTTTATGAGTTGGCATATGTGATGTTTATATATATACTGATGGTTTTCCTTTAATATGGTGTAAACTATTGTTAATGTGGTGTGAACTATTGAAGGTATTCACTACAGACACATGTAGCAATGGGTTTCCTATGATATGGTGTGAACTTTTGAAGGTATTCGCTTCAGAAACATGACGAGACTAATAGAAACCATAATGTAAATATTTTATTATAATTCTGTTGATGTGTGGGATTACATTGGATATGGATACATTTATTCTAGTTATTTTTCTGTAAAACAATGTTATGTATTTCTTTTTATCAAAAAAATTAATGCTTGCTTAGATATGTACCCATTATAATCTTAATTTGTTCCAAGTATGATGATAATACTGAATTTGAATTGAAAAATAAGATTTATACTGAATTTCAAACGGGATGATTTTAGTGAGTCTAGTATTTTAATTCTGACTGATTTTGTTGAGGTTTATTTTCTTTTTATTTGATGGCTTTAATAAAATTTATTCCATGGAATGTTGAATTTATTATTCAAATCATTTGCTTTTAGTTTTTGTTTTAGATTCTAGTCTTGAATAATCTTCTTCGTGTCACGATACTAACTTGCTTTTCTTCTTATATTCGAGTTTCTCTATTAATCGATTTTTGCGTAAAACACAACATTTTGTATTGCAACGTCAGACGAAAACTAGGAAACAAATACTGTCATTAGGCATTTTACATTTTATAAAAGCTCATATTTGAGAAAAGGCAGAAAATACAATCAGAACTGTAAAAAGCAAAAATGAACAACAATACAACACATAAACATGCCATTGCGAATGAGACGACCACTGTTCACTATATAGGGGAGATTGCCTTGAAATGATGATTTTGATCAATATGACCATTTCTTCTATTATCTTAAGTTGTAACAGATAGACAGCAACTATTTCCAGCATTGGAGATCAACCAAACACTAACACGTTTGAAACTTGCAATTTTATGAGGAGTTTTATTCATTGGATGTAAATTTAAACAAAAGATGCATGTTTTGCAAGAGAAGACAAAATTAAAATATGTATAAAAAAAAACAAGCAAGGTTTATTTTACTTGTAAAATCAGTGTTATGATCATCTGATATTAGTCAGTAATTTAAGTTTAATTAAGTTACAAAGATAATTATTTTACTGAAAACAATAAAAAAAATATGCATAACTCTAATCTGAGCATTTTCTGCAATCAAATTTATTTTTTTATTCAATATTAGCTATTTAATTTTTGTTTTTTTTAATAAAAATTCGCCATTTAATTTTTGTTTTTTTTAATAAAAATTCGCTATTTAATTTTTGTTTTTGAAAATTGCATTTTCAATGCTTTTTTCTGGAAATTAAATCAAACTTCAATAAAAAATATACTACCCCTTCCTTGGAAGATTTCTATTTCCATTCATGTCAAAATTGTTTAATTGAAAAAAGATATTTGAAATCAGTATCCCTTCTAAAAATTGAAATATCAACAGAATTTGTATCAATATTGAGAAATACTCCATCTATGGGCAATTGAATACATTTTTTTTAGTTATATTATGAAAATGAAATAAAACTGTTCATCTTCAGTGTCATACATGTATAATTTTATTTTATCAAAAATCAATAAATGATCCTAAGATGAGTTAGAAAAATTGCATACCTATGTTTAAACAAAGAAATACTCCCCAAAACAACCATTTACAAGTAAATTTAGGGAGACAATGTTGTTTTATCAACTGAAAAAAAAAGCAATTATCTTTGTGAATTTAACGAAAGGGTGATATTTCTAGTTATACACCCGCTTTAAAACAGTGGAGTATACTGTTTTATCTCTGTCTGTCCATCCGTCAGTCCGTCCGTCCGTCCCATGAATATTTATCGTCGCATCTTTCTCAGAAACTACATAACAAGGATTTCTGAAATTTGGTTTCAGGGTTTATATGAGTCAACTGTAACGTGTGATGCGTTTTCAGATTCATCACTCAACAACTTCCTGTTTACCGAAAACTTACATCATTTTACACATGACATCCAAGTTGAAAATTTTCGTCACATTTTTCTCAGGAACTACATAACAAGGATTTCTGAAATTTGGTTTCAGGGTTTATATGAGTCAGCTATACAGTGTGGTGCGTTTTCAGATTCATCACACAACAACTTCCTGTTTACCAAACACTTACATATTTTTACACATGACATCCAAGTTGAAAGATTTCGTCGCATTTTTCTCAGGAACTACATAACAAGGATTTCTGAAATTTGGTTTCAGGGTTTATATGAGTCAGCTATACCACGTGATGCGTTTTCAGATTCATCACTCAACAACTTCCTGAATACCGAACACTTACATATTTTTACACTATTAAAATTATCCAGTTTTTTTTCACCACGTTACCTGAGAATAAGATTTGAAATTATGCACACAACTCTTCCAGTCTTTCCATCAGTGATTTCGATTACTTTGATTGTCAGAAGTACCTTAGAAGAAGTACACTTTTTTTTGAGAATTTCATGTGCTGAAAGGGGTGATTTAAAAAAAGAAAAATAACACTGGTAATTTTTTAGTGAAATTTTAATGAAAATTATGACCTTCTGCGTTTAAATCCTTGTGTTGTCTGTTTTTTTTTTAGTCCCTTGGTTTCTTCTGTTAAAAGTGTTTAAACACAAGTTAACATTTTGAGTTTAACTCACTTATCCAAAGTTGTAATGGTTGTCTCTATATAAATGTCTTACAGCAGCTTGTATAAAGAAAAAATATTGAAAAACGTAGCTAAAACAACGATGCTTTGATTGTTAGAATTGTTTAACATTTTGTCATGTCGGGGCCTTTTATAGCTGACTATACTGAATGGGTTTTGTTCATTGTTAAAGGCAGTACGGTGAATTATAGTTTCTAAAATCTACTCCATTTGAAATGTGTTGGATAGTTGTCTCATTGGCAATTATACCACATCTCCTTACTTAATCTTGACTTATTTTGAATTTTGCCAAAAAACTCTATAAAATAGCAATTCTATGCCAAATATGTAAATTTCAACTTCTACGTAATTTGGTCTTTGGTAGAAAGATGACTCTTTTGCAATCATACCAAACACTCTTTCTTTTATATTATGACGTCAGGATTATATCACCCTGTGCATTTATTGTCGAGTCTGTGACATTTATGTCGCAAATGCAAGACATATATAGTGAACCTAGATTCCGTCGTCGGCGTCGTCAAAATTTAGATTCAGTTTGTGGATAAAGTTTTTTTTAGACATCAGTAACTTTGTCAAACCTTCATCGACTTTTATGAAATTTTGACAGAATCTTGTTTATGAACAAAAGACAGTTTCCAGAGCAAAATTATGAAAATATTTATTTTCATTTATTCGCATTTTACTGATATATGGACTTTTTTTACAGTTAACATTCAGATTTAGTATGAGGTTAAAGTTTTTCAGTCATCAATAACTTTGTCAAATCTTCATGCAATTTTATGAAATTTAGAGAGAAGCTTAGTTATGACCAAAATACAATATTCATAGCAAAATTTTGAAAATATTTATTTTAATCTTCCTTATTTTACTGATAAATGGACTGTTTACAGTTAGTTACAAAGTAGATACAGTCTAAGGTTAAAGTTTGTTACACATCAATTACTTTGTCAAACCGCCATAGAATTTTATGAAACTTGAGTAGAAGCTTTTTTTATGATTAAGAGATAATGTTTGAAGCAAACTTTTATAATTTTCTTTTTAATTTTCTGTATTTCTCTGATGGATGGACTAAGTTTTTACAGTCGACATTTACAGACAGTCTGGGATTGACATGATATATTTGTAAACCTTCATGGATTGTTATGAAACTTAGACAGAAGCTTATCTTCAAGACAAAGACACAGCATCTAAAGAAAAAGTTTTAATTTTATTTTTAAATTCTGTATTTTACTGATAAATGGACTCACTTTTTAAGTCAACATTACACTCTTACACCGACAGCAGCAATCGAAGGTGAGACACAGGGTTTTGCGGAACACCTTACGAAATTTTCAATTAAACTAGCATGTTGTTGAAGAATTTCACTTTATTTCGTTGTTTGCAGTTGTTTTTATCTAGATTAGTTTTATTGAATCAATTTAGTCACACTTTGTGTCGTGTAGTATTTTTTCTTTGACCTTCCAGGTAGGAAGACTATTGCCCTGTCCAAACAAAAGACTGAAAATCCTAGTAAAGTTGGTGACTCAATAACATCTTTGCATGAAGCCGAGTTTATGAAGTTCAAATACCCATACGACGTTTTATCAGAACCTAAATTGGAACTTCAACCCGAACAAGCATCAGACATCTACAGACTTCCTTTTGACAAAAGTAATATACCCGACGGTCACATCTTAACACCCATTGGGGTAAATTCTACCTCCGGTAGCGTAAAACAAAAGGAATGTCGATACCGTTTAAAGTACAAAGTGAAAACAAGGAAAGGATGGGCAGTACGAACCAAATATATATGTTTAGCCTGTGATGCTGCTTTATGTTCTGGTGAATTGACTAACAGAAACTGCTTTTTTTTGTATGATAATGAGAAATTATTAGGCATGCAGTAAGAGTTCGTATTTTATACTTTTTAAGTTTGTCTTTATTTTGATTATATGTTTGTTTTTCTTTGACCTTTCAGGTAAGAGAGAGGTTCAACAAAATGCAGAGAAATCTTTTGTTATGATGGATCTAACGTCACCACATATAGGAGGAATAGGTATTGAATCGAATCGCCATTCCTTTCCTTTCAATAAACACAATTTACCACCGGGACATCATCTTGTTTTAATTCCTGGAAACAAAAAGAAAGAATGTAAATACTGTCAGAGACATAAATTAAAAACGAAAAGTGGTTATTCTATACAGACGCAGTATAAATGTGAAACATGTGACATAGCTTTGTGTTCTGGAGGATACACGGACAGAAACTGTTTGGTTGCCTTCCATAATGAAGCATATATCGGACCGAAAATATAATGTTTGCTTTTCAAAATGAAGCTTTAAATTGCGTTTTCAGGTGGAAATTTAAGTTTGGACTGAATATTTGAGTTATTTGGTTTTAATAAGTGTTTTTGATTTATTTTGTATACTGTTTTTACCAACTGAAACTGTATGCTTGTTTCAAACAAATTTGGATAGTAGCTAATGTCAAACGTTTTTTGTTTGTTGATGTATCATTTGTGTACAATCATGAACCCCATGTATACTTCCCCAGACTCGTTTCATACTATGTTAAACCATACACGTCTGCGATAAACTAACACGTATTAGTATATCATTCACATTTTCTATGCACATCTTTTTGCCGCTTGCATGTATACTAATTCTTTATGATACAAGTCAAAGTGTCTAAATAGTGTTGAAACTCATCCTTTTCTGTCAACTAGATTTGTTTGCTTATTTTCTATCTGCATACTACTTCCAGGTGTGATGTCGAATGCTGCGGTTCAGGATGGGTATGAGTGCATTGTGGTCAACTCTCGTGAAC